ACTGAACCTGGGATTGAAGCGTCAGAGGCAGAGGGATCGCCGCAGACGCGTGAAGAAAAAGGATCCCCGGATCATCAGCGTTTTGGGAGGGGCGCAGATGAGCAGAAAACAAAAGAGGAAGATCGATCGCTCGATCTGGAAGAAAAACCTCTACCCCCTCCCCAGGTCCCTTCGGGGACCCCTGCGAATCACGTTGCAAAACGAGATTCGCGAGATGAAAATCTTTCAGTTAAAACTGAGAGAAATTCATCCAAAACCGCTCCTACAAAACCTAAGAAGAAAGAGTCGACGAATTCACAGGTGCGGATAAAGGCACCGCGATCACAACTCAACGTTCAGACGAAGAAATCGGAAGATCGTGGTGTCCAAGGAAAAGAGTCGGCCGATCACGGATCGAAAACCGAAAGATCGACGAACATGGAAGAATTGGAACGGTGTTTTCACCAGAAAGAACTAAAGACTTTGCTATCAAGCGATCCAGTTCTCAAGATATTGAAGCCAAAGCTAATCGGATTATTGCAAGGACCGGTATCAGCTCCGGTAGAAACACCGAACCAATTGGAAGCGATTCGTCGTTTGTTGAAGTTACTCAAGGAAGCTGGATTCACCGCTGGAGCGTTTGATGCGCAAACATTGCTGGATTGCGATCATGATCAAGTAATTAAAGCAGGACGATCTTTGTTCGAGGCGTTAATCCCTCTCACGGGGAAGTACCAAGCGATCGTGCCAGCCACTGAGACATATCAAACGGGCTCATCACAGTATGCATCGGCAGAATCGGAGGCGGATTCAGGAGAATCAGTTCCCATTCAACGGATGTCGTAGGGACCGTCTGGTGCGGCGTTTATACGTGAACGATCGACGCCGATCGAAACGGGAGCGAAATCGGCTGATGTATCCATGGGTCGAGAAATGAATCCATTTGGATCAAACCAGCTGGATTCCTATTTTAAAGCAGCCATGAAGAAGTACGAGGACGATCAACGGATCTTAGCTCTACAAAATGCTGATCGATCAAGGATCAACGCCACTCCTCAAATGATGAATATTCCAGACGTGGAGATGGAGTCAGTCGGATCGCGTCATAGTCGATCCAATATTGGCGATCCGCTGGAATTAGGACTCGAGGATCTAAGGCGACCGTTGGTGGCAGCTGCAGAAGCTATGCCAAGTGGTGGATTCACTACACAACGAATCCGAGTATCGGCGATCGCAGATTTAAAAGAGTTCACCGGGCGAGACAGAGACGAAGATCGAGCTAGAAGCTGGATCAGTAAAGTCAAATCTGCTTTCTTACGTGATCAAGCTCCTGACAACGAAAAGTGTCTCGTATTTGGAGATCTGCTGACGGGACCAGCAAGAAACTGGTATAGCCAGCTGAGCCGATCGACCCGTCATCATTGGAAATCTCTATTGGAAAGTTTCATGATACAATATGGAGGGTATGGTGTATCTGTGGGAAGACAATATTACCATGCAAGAAAACAATTCGAATGAAACTCCATTGGAGTATCTATATCGGCTAAATGTGGCAGCGATCAGAGCAAAAATTTCAATTCGAGAGGGAACGCCAGCTACCAGACGTGAACATGTGGAACATTTTATTGAGACATTGGATGATCGCGATCTGGCGAAACAGTTGACTTTGTTACGTTTGGACGATGCTGATGACATAGAAGAAACTCTACGTGCGTATCAACGTATGAAGATTCGTCAAGGCAAGGCATCGATGGGATCCAATAAATTTCGTCAACGAGCCGCCCCTGCACCCGATCAAGCGTCATCGAAACCGGCTCGTGCAGTGAGAGCGATCCATATCGAAAACGGTAACAGTGGATCAGAGTCGGAATCGAGTGGATCTGAAGTAGAAGTGGATCGACGCCGCGTGTTTTCCGCGATGACGCATGCCCCAGCTGAAAAGCCGAGAGATTATCGCGATCGACAGAATGAGAGTGACAATCATGATTGACAGAATGTGATCGACAATCGTGATCGACAGAATGTGATCGATCAAGGCAAAGGTCATGGTCACACTGACCCACCAAGAGCCTGCACCCATTGCGGATCGAAGAAGCATGACGATCGTGGATTTTGGAAGCGGTTGACCTGTCAGAAATGTGGGCGCAAAGGACATCCTTCAGACAAGTGTTTTTTCGTGTGTACTGCCTGTGGAGAGATGCACGAAGGAGGAAAATGCCCGATGGAAGAATTTTATAATCTAACTCGCCAATGGTACGTGCCGACCAAACACGCTGGGATGCTCCCGCCGAAGGCAGAGGAGATGTTAAACTAGGACGCTCGCCAGGTTGGAATCTGGTACGAGCCGAGCGTTCTAGGCTCTGCATTTATGCATTTGTTGAAAAGGGATCTACGGATCAAGAGGTTAACAAGCGGATCGATCCGATCAATACATGTGAGGATTCAAATCATTTGCGTTATATTTCAAGTGTCGCGAAAGTTGATGAATTTTCCCGATCGCCTGCCAAGATGGAGCTCGACCTGGCGCCAGGCGAATCACGGGGGTATTGGAAATATCATACCCCAGGAAAGTGGTTCAAGCAGGCCAAGGCAGTGGGCAAGATCAACAATGAGAAGGCCACTATGCTATTTCATTCTGGAGCCGAAGTCTCGATCGTCGACACCACCTTTGCTCGTAAGGTAGGATGTGTCATTGACGAGAGCCAAAGGCAAGAATGTGTCGACATTGGAATTGGTGAGAATACCTATATGACCGAGGGACGAACCAAAATCAAGATCACATTAAATGGATCACTGGTATATTATTTTGACGCCTGGGTGGGCGATCAAGTTGGTCAAGAAGCGATCTTGGGTATGGATTTTATGGTCCCAGCTGGGATTCGCTTGGATCTGGCAGACGGAACACTTTGTTTGCCGGATGAGGTTAGAATTCAATTGGCGGGACGAAGGCCTCCATACCAAACGAACAGACAGCCAATCACGATCAACGATCAATATGTGGTGATCCCAGTAGGCGGATCGACGAAATTACGAATCGGTACTGGTGCACTGAATTCTAAGCTTTGGGTGAGACGAGATCCAAAATGGATACCAACAGTCACAACAGGACCGGGGAAGACTAAATATCTGCAGCTAACTAATCTTAGTGATCGAAAAGTGATTGTGAATCACGGAGCTCCGATAGGTTGGTGGATGGCTGCGGATATGATACCTCGAATCACCTGGATATGTCTCGGTGGGGTCGCGTCGATATAATGAGTGTCAGGCTCTGGCCTATGAAGCAACTACAGATCGGAAGGAAGAAATCACTGATGAGCCAACAGGACCACTAGTTGATCACCCGTCGTATCCACTACCAACTAAGATTTTGATGCGTCCAAAGAAGGGAGAGAACGAGAAGATCGCAAAAGTGGAGAAAATTGCATCGCAATCGGATAAGGAAACGATCAACGTGGGAGTAAATCAAGATAGTACAGAAGATCAAGGTTATCGTGACAGTGAAGATCATCAGTCAAGACGATCACAATTTGTGATCAATATGCTGAAAGAAATCGACAAGGTGGATGGTGTACAAGACCGATCAGGCGAAAGAACCGATATTCGTGATGAAGACATAACGGAACAAGACCAAGAACAGTCCACAGGTGTGATCGATGCGACCGGAGAAGTGGGGGACGTCGATCAGATACCAGATCGATCGGATGAAGCAATCGAAGATTTTACGAACATCGTCGAAGATAACGATCAGGGACAATCCGATCGAGTGGAAAATAAGTTCACAGCGATCGCAACCGAGGATGTCCCAATAGAAGAACCATCATCTGAAGAGACAGTATATTCTCACGAGAGTGGCGATCTGTTTGCCGAAGATGTCGATCAGCATATGGCGGTGTTGCCAGAAATTGTGATGTCTACGGTGGAAGTATCGATCGACGATATTCAAGTTGGCGACCCTGGAATACCATTAACAGAAGATCAAGAAAAGCTACGACAATTAATTTGGAAGAATCGCCACTTACTCATAGGGAAAGGTAATGCCCTACCTCCCGCAGCACGTGGAGCAGTTTGTGACATTGATGTTGGAGGAGCTAACCCGATCGCACAGAGAGTGCGACCTGTGGCACCCAAATTCCGAGAGAAATTAGCTGATTTGATTAAGGGATTATTATCTGCCAAGATCATTCGGCCATCTACGTCGCCGTGGGCTTCACCAATTGTAGTGATTATCAAGAAGAATGGCGAAGACATTCGATTATGTATCGATTATCGTAGGGTGAACCAGTTGACACGATTGATGGTATACCCTATGCCACTGATCAGTGATTTATTGCAAGATATGGATAAAGCTATGTGGTATTGTTCCTTGGATATGGCGAGTGGATTCTGGGTGGTAGAAATGACGGAGAGAGCGAGGATGATTTCTGCATTTATTACACCGTCAGGTTTGTTTGAGTGGTTACGAATGCCATTCGGATTGAAAAATGCTCCTCAAATCTACCAGCGATTGATTGACAATGCTCTATATGGGTATTTGAAAATCGGTACAAGTTCTGATTCAATTCCAGCTGAATTGTCAAAGCCGATCGACGTGTTTACTGAAGGTGAACCAGATACCGATCCGAGACCATCGGTGTTAGGTCGGCGATCATATATTGACGATATACTGATACCTGATACATCGTGGACGTCTATTTATGAGAAGGTGGAACGATTGTTGGAAGCGTGCAATACGTGGAATTTATCAATCAGTGTGGCTAAGAGTTTTTGGGGACGTCGTAAAGTGGATTACCTGGGTCATCAGGTTTCGCTTGCAGGTTTAGAAGCTTATCCAAAAGATTTAGAATCTCTAGTGAACGTCCCATTTCCTCGGACGTTGCGATCAATGCAGTCCTTTTTGGGGAGTCTGAATTACTACAGCCGATTTATTGAGGATTTTGCGATTTATGCATCCGTACTTTATGAGCTGCGGGAGGCAGATTTTCATGAGATCAGCCGGGCTGGGGATGTTCAGATGGTCCCTAATGGTGCTGGACCAAATTGTGATCGCCAGTCTCGCTGACAAGTATAAGATCGATCAGGATTTTAAAAGTGGATCGAGAGATGGCTACATTATCGATCAGGATTTTAAAAGTGGATCGAGAGATGGCTACATTATCGATACAGAGTCAAATACTGGGGACGATCATGGTTGCGAAGGCAGAAACCGCTGGAAGAAGGCAACGATCGCATTCACTCTATTGAAGGCTAAAATAGCCGCGACACCGATCCTGAAACATTTTGATCCAGAACGATCGCCTGTGACTGTGGTTTATGCCAGTAAGTATGCCATATCAGCAGCGTTACTTCAAGAACACGATGGAATCTATTGGCCTGTCACTTTCTCTAGTCGCACGCTGAAGCCTAACGAGATTAATTACGGGATAGTGGAGAAAGAGGTATTAGCTCTCCTCCGGATACTGGATATCTGTTACACTATGCTGGTCTCACGAACGATCACAGTGCTTACGAGGCATTCGACGCTGGCTTGGTTATTGCAATCTTCTGGCCTTAACGGGAGGTTAGGAAGATGGGCTGCTCTCCTATCAAATTGGACATTAGAGATCCGCCGGAGTGAGAAAGGCGAAGACGAGATATTGGGTACCCTAGCTGCGAGTATAACTCCCCGTAAAGAAGTGGACGAGATGTTGATCGCAATCGCCCCGCGTAAGCAGCCTCGGCAAACAATCAGTATGCCACCACCCACGGTTGAGGTAGGGGAAGATCTGTTGGTAGTTAGTTTCGATGGGTCAGCTCGAGTGAAAAGGAAGGGCGGGGCATATAGCGCGATCGTGTGGAAATTACCTGAATGGACGATCGTGGCTGCCGCTTCTGAATTTGCTACTAATTTGACGGTGAATGAAGCGGAATATCGAGGATTAATTTTCAGCTTGGATCTGCTTGCAGATCAGACCAGGGGACGTGTAATCATTTGCGGTGACTCGAATTTGGTGATCAGGCAAATGCGTGGAGAGATCGAATGTAAAGCACCGGGTCTACAATTGCTGCGTCATTAAGCTATGGAGAAACTCCGATCGTGGCCAAACCACGAATTGTTACACATGAAGCGGGACTGGAATCAAAGTGCTGATCGACTAGCAAGTGAAGCTCTACAGCGAGAAAAGGGTACAATTGTAATTTCGGATCAAGACCGCCAAGACTTGGTTACTCTAAATCGGTTGGACGAGCTGTTGATCCCAAGCCAGGTCGATCAGGTAGTCAAAGTGGCTGCGATCACTCGATCAGCTGTGAGAAGACGTTGTCAGCCAGAAATTTGGCAGGAAGAAATCGTGCAGCAAATGCGGGTCGATCGCATAAGACAAGCTCAAGACGAAGAATGTTGGATATCTAACTTGAAGACATATTTGGTCGGGGATGTTGCGACGCTAACAGCGGACGAAGCGAAGAGCTGCGCCCAGATCACATCCGATTACGAAGTGGACCTAAGTGGACTATTATTTTTCTGCCATGGAGCGAACGCGAAATCTGAAGATCGTAACGAGTTGGTTCGCTTGGTAATTCCGGAGTTATTGCAGCAGGATGTTTTGCATCATTATCATACGAGTCTGGAAGGTGGTCACCAAGGGATTGGTCGAACCTACCAACGGATCAAAATGAATTTCCACTGGCGAGGGTTGTACCGCAGTGTGCAGCGATATGTAGGCGAATGTGTGGATTGTGAAACAGGCAAGGGGCGGCCATCTGATCATGGAGGATCACCAGAAAATTTACAGGCGACTTATCCGTTTCAAATTTTGGCTATGGATCATATTCCGTCACTACCGCGATCTTTCAAAGGAAATACGGAGTTGTTACTATGGGTTGATCTGTTTTCAGGCTATGTGATCGCAAAGGCCAGTTCGCTCCGGACTGCACAGACGATCGCAGAAAACTACGAAGAGTGTGTTTTCCGACGGTTTGGTGCAAGTGAGGCGATACGCCACGATCGAGAGCCAGGATTCATGTCTGACTTCTTTCGTGCGTTTAATCGGATCGCGGGGCAGAAACAACGAGCTACCTTGGCATATAGACCACAAGCAAATGGCACGGCAGAGCGCATGGTCCAAACGTTGACACGATCAATCAAGATGTATGTAACGGATGAGAACCAGAAAGATTGGGACGAGTATGCAGAAAGGCTGACTTTCGCGATCAATACTGCCCAAGATCGTGTCCGTGGAAATACCCCGTTTTATCTGATTCACGGTTGGGACCCGCGATCGACCTTGGAGGCGGCCCTACCGTTAGGGAGCACCAAAGCGCGTGATCGTGATTCACGGCGATGGCGATACGGCATACAACGCCACTATCAACGGGCAAGATCGGCAGTGAACGACCGTTTGAAACTTGCGATACAAGACCGATCTGATCGACATAATGCAGATCACGATCGTTTTGAGGTGGATCGTGGATCACAGGTGTGGCTCTATCTGGATCGCGTCAAAGAAGGATATGCTCGGAAGTTAGCCCATATGTGGCACGGACCGTTTCGGGTAGCCGATAAATGTGGCGATCACGCAGTACGATTGGAGATCGCGGGTACGCCATACAGGCTATTCCCGGTGGTCCATGTGTCTAAGCTGAAACAAGTTAGAGTGTTCCCAGAACGCCCTACAAATTTGTTGAATGTGGATGAAGCAGATCGAGTGGATTTTGATGAAGCGTTACTGCCGGAAGACAGCTGGAATGGTGAGCTAGAGGAAGGCGAACACGAAGTGGAAAAAATCGTGGATGTGCGATCGGGTCGAAGAACGCGCTATGGTCGGGTGCATCGCCAGCTTTTAGTGAAGTGGAAGGGTTATAACGATCCTGAATGGGTCGATGAAGCGGATTTGAATTGTGGTGCTTTGTTGCAAGAGTTCGATCGCGATCGAGCTAGCCGAAATCGTTTTGAGGTGATGCAATCGCACGAGGAGGAGTCTCGTGGTTAAGGACGATCGGATTGTTGGAGTGGTGAAAATATGTAAGAGGGTTACATATGTAGGTGGAAGGGATTATATGTGGAGTGAGTATAGTGGTCACGAAATCAAAGATGGAGAAAGGGGATCACTATGAAGAGAAAAAAGAAAGAAGAAGAGGAGGATTTTGAACGCGATCAACGGAACAAGGTGAAAACTATATGAAGATCGCGTTAATGTTATGGATCAAAAAGTTACTCGCGATTCACAAACTTACCAACCAAGCGAGGGATCGAATAACCGGGATGGTCGGTCATGGAAAGACGATACTGGTCCCTCCACGGCTCTTTCACAGTACTTATGGATAATGCGGTGATCAGATTGGGTATGTTGGTCTGGTTCGTGGGCAAACCAGGATACCATGTCCTGACCTCGTTAAGACGAGGGAAATGAAGGAAAATCGGGTCCAGTAAAATGTCCAGATCACACAGGCCATCGATCATGCCTTGAAGAATCATGCCAAGCACTTTTTTCCCACACGGGACCTGATCGTGATCGCCGTTGTTTTCTCTCTTGAGCCAATGTGGCCAAGGCAGGATCGGATCGACGATGTTGGGTCGATATCGGCAGAAAATGTGTCGCCTCCCAGAGTGCCTGGCAATGACGGACTTTGAAATCGTTATACAAGCGTACCAATTCTTGGAACCATCCAGTACACTCGAAAGAGATCGGATCGACCAGTTGTTCATACAGCAGCCAGGGCTGGCGAGCGTATAATTGGCTGATTTGAGAGGAGGTGATTAACCCGGATGACCACTCGGAATCACTAGGTTTCTGGAGTTTTCCAGAGGGAGCAGGGAATATGTAACCCCTAGGTTTTGAATAATGGTGGAAGAGTGTATCCAGATCCAATTCTGAAACGCACAACAAGCTGATTCTGCGAGCGGACCAAGGAAGCGTATCGGATGACGCTCGAGGGACTTGATCACGATAACCTGGAAGCCAAAGATCACGAGAGATTGTGGTAGCGGGGAGATCCGAGAATTCCTCTGCTGTCATCAATTGATTGCAAGGAATCCGAGGGTCGCTGTCGATACTGAGGCTATCCTCAAATTCACTGGAGGGTTCGCCAAATAAATCTGTAATCGAAACTCGTGTCGGAGTTTCATGGGGGGACGTAACTGGACTAGGTGAGTCCACCACGATCGGTGAAGAAGGTGGAAATACCGGAGACCGAGCCACAGTGCGTCGTCGAGAAGCCGATCGAGAAGAGGATAACGCAGCCAGCAGAGAGTCGTCCGTCTGATCGGAACCATACCCAAAAGGATCTTCTTCACTCGCATCTGTAGAAGATGAAGGAGAATTTCGGGGGGGTTCTGGGGTTGGTGACCCAGAAAGATCGGGGGAATTTGATCCTGATCTGGGCGAATGCGATCTCGATCTCGAATTGTCTGGACCGGATCGTGTTGAAGATATGGAATTTTCAAGGCTTGATCGGGCCGAGGTTGGGGAATGGTTGGGACTTAAATCATGGAGACTTGGGGACGTAGATGTTCTTCGAATGCGCTTGAGCACGGGCTGATCCGAGTCAGAAATTTTTCGCTGGCGCTTGTTCCGTTGTGGAAATACTTCACCAGAAGCAGCGGCTGGTGACGACGTTGAGGGAGGCGACCCGGTTTTATGTAATATACCAGACAAACGAGCGAAGAGAGAGTTCCGATCCTTAACTTCCTGCGCAAGTTGATCGCGCTCAATCCGGATCGCGTCAAGCTGAAGTCGGGTATCATGGAGTTGCTGTTGGGATTGGATGTAGCGAGACTTAAATTGGCTCTCGGAATTTTTGGCTTGAGCAGCCTGTTCATTGGCCGACTTGGCGGAATCAAGCGCAGCTGCCAGCTTGTTCTGGACGGCAGCCAGCTGGAATTGAAAACGCTCCTCGGCCTTGTGGCGAGCTGCGGTGGCGTCGAGTAGAGAGGAACGCAGATCCGCGATCTCCATCTCCAGCTGGCCGATCTGTTCCAATTCTTGGCGATACTCCTCTGCCGATCGAGTCGCAATTTGCAATTCGCAGCACAAGAAATTATACTTGTATGACACGAATTTCGCGAAACTTCCAGCCAATTCACAATCAGCTTGAATCTCGCGTTCCAAACGAGCGCAGCGAGTTTCTTGGGAGTGCAATACATCGTAAAGTGCTTCGTAATTGTCCAATACGTCCTGCTGGGTGTCCAAGCAGTCGTAGAGTTGGTCAATTTGGGCCTTCAGAGCAGCCCGATCCATGGTTGGAATGATCTATAAAATATCAAAAAGAATTCCCGACCACCAGAAAAACTTGCAAGCGACCGTGGAGTGGGAGCGATCGACGGTTGGTGGGAATTCGTGATCCGGTTAGATGGAACAGAAGCTTGACGTTGGAATGTCGACATGTTGAGAACGGGAATTTGAGCTTAGGAATAGAATATGCACGGATACACCAGCACTGTATGCCGGTGATCAGCGCAGGGGACGGCTGTGGTGAAGTCGATCAAGAAAAATTTGATCAACAATATCGAAAGTGATCATAATGTGGACCACTTTCACAGCGGTAATCATATTCTATGGATTATACTTGGCTATTGTATGGGAGCGATCAAGATCTATCGATGAATGATCGCATAGTTTATACTTGGCTATTGTATTGGAATGACAGCTTACCTGGATCGATCATGTGATGGCCACGGTTGGCCGAGGATTGCGCGGCTGTGATGACGATCAGGGTGGGAGATCGCTCGATCGCAATCGTCGATCGTGATCAACAAGTGTGATCGACGATCGTGATCAACAAGGGGGATCGTCGATCGTGATCAACAAGTATGATCGACGATCGTAACCTCGATCCAGAAAGCCGATCGCGGGATGTAACTGGTTACAGATCGCGATGGATCGACGATCGTGACAAGTGTGATCGACGATCGTAACTTCGATCTAGAAAGCCGATCGCGAGATGTGACGATCGTGACAAGTGTGATCGACGATCGTAACCTCGATCTAGAAAGCCGATCGCGAGATGTAACTGGTTACAGATCGATCGTAACCTCGATCAACGGATCAAGATCGCGATGGTACGACGATCGTGATCAGCAAGGGTGATCGTCGATCGTGATCGACAAGTGTGATCGACGATCGTAACTTCGATCTAGAAAGCCGATCGCGAGATGTAACTGGTTACAGATCGATCGTAACCTCGATCGACGGATCAAGATCGCGATGGATCGACGATCGTGACAAGTGTGATCGACGATCGTAACTTCGATCTAGAAAGCCGATCGCGAGATGTGACGATCGTGACAAGTGTGATCGACGATCGTAACCTCGATCTAGAAAGCCGATCGCGAGATGTAACTGGTTACAGATCGATCGTAACCTCGATCAACGGATCAAGATCGCGATGGTACGACGATCGTGATCAGCAAGGGTGATCGTCGATCGTGATCGACAAGTGTGATCGACGATCGTAACTTCGATCTAGAAAGCCGATCGCGAGATGTGACGATCGTGACAAGTGTGATCGACGATCGTAACCTCGATCTAGAAAGCCGATCGCGAGATGTAACTGGTTACCGATCGCGAGATGTAACTGGTTACAGATCGGTCGTAACCTCGATCGACGGATCAAGATCGCGATGGATCGACGATCGTGATCAGCAAGGGTGATCGTCGATTGTGATCGACAAGTGTGATCGACGATCGTGATCGACAAGTGTGATCGACGATCGTGATCAACAAGTGTGATCGACGATCGTGATCAACAAGTGTGATCGACGATCGTAACCTTGATCTAGAAAGCCGATCGCGGGATGTAACCGATTACAGATCGATCGTAACCTTGATCGACGGATCAAGATCGCGATGGTATCCGAAGTGGACCACATACCGAGATCTGATTTTCCTGAAAGAGACGACACGCGGCAGTAGGTACTGTCATACAGATAGGCATAATCGTAGGATTTGGTATTTTATTGGTTAACATTAAACAGAGTTTCTTTTACTTCTAAGCACGCACGCAGACTTCTCTTCCGGGCGGATAACTTTGGCCCCCGACGATCAAGAGCTTCTGCTACGCTACGACAAGTGATATCCCTGGATTGTTTGGCCAGGGATTACAAGAACTCTCCACCCAAGCAAAACCCCCCTGCGATCGGACGCAGTATACAACGTAAAGGACAAGGCACAAGATCGAGACGGCTCAAGTGGTCAGAAGATCAAGTGAAATCAAGTGGATCAAGTATCTACATTTGGATAAGGCGGTCTCAAGGCAGACCAGGGTGACTCATAGAGCACCCTCCCCCCCCCTACAACTTTCGATCGCGTGAGGATTTTCCACGTGATCGACCCCCCGACCAATCCCCAACCCCGGTCAAGTTCAGCATCGACTCAAGTCCACCGAGAAGAGTGCAACCCGCCCTACCGACGGGTACACAAGGTGAGGAAGGAAAGTTACACGGATACGGGGTACCCCCTCCGTTAGTCGGTCGTCTGGGCGCCAGTGGAGAGTCGGGATCACATCAGAAATTTTGTGATCGCCACTCCACCACAGTTGATGAAGCAAGCGGATGAATGAAGGGTTTTTGCCTTAAGGCCAAGTCAGAGAGTGAAGATCACCTCAAGAACTACTTCACGATGATTTAAGCTCAGTTCAACAAAAAGGTCAAGTTTGTGCGTCACGATGGAGCCCGTGAATTTGCCACCAGCTCACTCAAGGCATTTTACGAAGATCAAGGAATCGAGCAGCAGACCACGGTTCCATACGCGCATCAAACAAATGGTACAGCAGAGAGAGATTCGTACCATCGTCACAATTGGTCGCAGTATGCTGCACCATGCTAATCTGGACAAGTGCTTCTGGGGCGAAGCAGCAATGGCCGCGATCTACATCAAGAATCGTCTACCATCACCCAAGATTGCAAGCAAAACACCGTTTGAATTTGTCTACAAGTCCATGCCAAGCGTGAAGCACATACGCGTGTTTGGATGCTGGGCATATATTTTGACACCTAAGGAGAAGCGATGCAAGTGGGATGCCAAGGCATGTGTAGGTGTGTTCATGGGATATGAAGAAGTATCGAAGGCGTACCGAGTTTATGACATCGAGGCGGGGCAGGTGGTGATCAGTCGCGATGTCACCTTCGATAAATCATCTTTTGGCTTTTCACCAATGAGTGCAAGTGAAGATGACGAGGATGTTACTCTGGTCCTCGATAGTCTCGACATTTGTGACAACAATGCTGGCCCAACAACTTATCAGCAGACCGGAAAACGCAAGAATGACTCAAGAGGCGTCGGAAGCACACCCTTCAACCCACACTCGGTTACCCGTAGAGCTGGACTTGAAGAATCAAGTGCCTCCGAAAACACATTTCAGCGCCAAGTGAGACATCGACCAAGTATGCAAGCCGGACCTGACTTCAATGAAGAAGAAGTAAAAGAAGTTCATAAAGATGAAGAAGGCTCCTCGACCCCTCCTGCATTTTGGAGAGCAAGTGTCAACGCTGTCGAAGTCACTGATCTGTCCGAACCGGCAACCTTTCAAGACGCGGTAAATGGACCCGATCAAGTTCATTGGCGCAAGGCCATCAATGCAGAGCTCGAGTCATTGCGACTTCGTGGAGTGTTCCAAGCTGCAACATTGCCAAAGGGCCAACAAGCTATTGGAACCAAGTGGGTATTCAAGATCAAGCGCAAAGCAGACGCTTCAATTGAGAAGTATAAAGCAAGACTTGTAGCGCAAGGCTTCAAACAGAAGTACGGGATCGACTACACGGAAATGTGGCGAAGAGAAGGAGTGAATTTGGCAAAGTGTGATTGCATATTTTCGGTTAAGTCCGAAATGGCCAATATTGATGAATCGCGATCTCGCAGAAAGGTTTCGAGATGATGTCAAATGGGATGGAAAACAGTGAATGGTGGAGTTTGCAGTTCTATGTGGGTTAAATATGGCCTAGAAACTACGCAATTGCGATCTCCGGTATTTTTCGATGGTGATCCGCGTGAACGCGATCGCTAAAGAAGGAGGATTGGTACATCCAAGTATATGGAAGATGGTCGGGTGTGGATTACGTTGCTTTGGAAGACTGGAATGACACGTCATATAGATGGACCATCTCACGTTACCCGAGAAACGGTGAAGAGGACAAGTCGTGATCCGGCGGACCGCGATCCGATACTAATTATTAGTATCGCGATCCGATACTGAAATAAGTACCGCGATCCGATATTAATTATTAGTACCGCGATCCGATACTAATTATTAGTACCGCGATCCGATATTAATTATTAGTACCGCGATCCGATACTAAAATAAATACCGCGATCCGATATTAATTATTAGTACCGCGATCCGATACTAATTATTAAGTACCGCGATCCGATACTAATTATTAGTATCGCGATCCGATACTAAAATGGTATTAGATCCAAGCGAGGTAGCGATCCAGATCGCGGCGATATTGGAGTGGAACACATTACAAGATCTGATTTCTCCGAAAGGGCGATACGTGGCAATAGATCCTGAGCTACAGATAGTCAAGATCATAGGTTTTGGTATTTGATTGGTTAACATTAACAGAGTTCAATTTGCTTCTAAGTACACGTGTCGACTTCTCTATTCCGGGCAGGATATTTGGCCTCCCGACGTCTCAAGGAAGTCTACATACTACGCAAGTCATATCCCTGGATTGTTTGGCCAGGGATTGCAAGAATTCTCAACAAAACAACTCAAGCTGCGATTGGACGCAGAGGACTAAGAAGTCCAGATACAAGATCGCGAGACGGCTCAAGTGGTCAGAAGGCAAGCGGATCAAGTATCTACATTTTTGGACAAGGCGATCTCAAGGGAGATCAGGGCGACTCAAACAGAGCACCCCAAGAACAACTGCGATCGTGTAAGGAATTCCACTCGATCTCCCCCACCTATCCCTAACACAATCAAGTTCAACATCGACTCAAGTCTACCGAGAAGAGAGCAACCCGCCCTACCGACGGGTAGGAAGGCTATACACACGGAATCGGGGTACCCCCTCCGTTAGTCGGTCGTCCGGGCGCCAGTGGAGAGTCGGGATCACATCAGCAATTTTGTGAACCCCGCTCCACCACAGAAACGTTTTCGCCAGTAGTCAAATATGTGACACTGCGCATGGTGGTCGCCATCACTAAGTTTTTCAACTGGCCACTCGACCAACTTGACGTGGTAACAGCCTTTCTCTACGGCGTGATGAAAGCGCAAGTGTACTGTGCAGTTCTAGAAGGCGTCGAATTGGATGGAGACTTCAACTGCCTTGAGTTGGTAAAGACAATCTATGGTCTCAAGCAAGCTTCACGAGTATGGAACGAGACCTTCGACGAGTTTGTACGCTCCATCGACTTCGAAGCGTCAGCTTACGATCCGTGCCTCTACATCAAGATTGCAGATGGTCACTGCGTACTGTTGTTGGTCTACGTGGATGATGTGCTGGTGACCGGAAGCTCGACCGAGCTGATTGCGCGCACGAAGAGTGATCTCAAGACGCGCTTCGAGATGACCGACAGTGGCAAGTGTGCTTTTGTGTTGGGCATAGAATTGGTCGAAAACGATGACAATAGCGTGACCATGTGCCAGCGACGCTATGTGAATGACATCCTGAAACGCTTTGGCATGGAAGACTGCAAGGCAGTAATAAGCCCAGCTGACATGAGCACTCGACTACTTCCAAGCGACGCAGCAACTAAGGTGAATGTCCCATTTCGAGAAGCCGTTGGGGCTCTCATGCACTTAACGACTGCGACACGACCAGACATTGCTTTTGCTGTGGGTTACGTGTCGCGCTTCATGGAAAACCCTCAAGTCGAGCACTGGATTGCAGTAAAGCGTATCCTCCGTTATCTGCAAGGGACCAAGTCGCATGGAATATGCTTCAAACCCGGTGACGAAGTTGATTTTCGTGGATACTCCGACGCGGACTGGGCTGGAGATCACTCGGATCGCAAGTCAACTTCAGGGTATGCGTTTTTGCTGATGAGTGCCCCAATTAGTTGGGGAAGCAAGAAACAGTCAAGCGTGTCGCTGTCAACGAGCGAGGCCGAGTACATTGCGCTAAGTTTAGCAATTCAAGAAGGCAAGTGGGTTCACCGTCTTTTGTGCGAGATCCTGGCGGCGTCGAACAAGCCGGCGCCTGGACTGAAGATCCTTGAAGACAATCAATCTTGCATCAAGATGACGAAGAATCCCGTCAACCATGGCCGTGCAAAACATATCGACATCAAGTATCACCACATCCGTGACGAAGTCAAGCGCGGCGAAGTCAAGTTGCAGTATTGCGAGACTTCCATCATGCTCGCGGACATCTTGACGAAGGCACTTCCGGGGCCACGACAGAAGGAAATGACGGCTGCTCTAGGCATCCACGCGTGTTCGCATTGAGGGGGCGTGTTGAGGGTAATCGGTATTAGCGACGGTTCATAACCGTGAACCGGTCTACTGAAACCGGTCCAATGCTACTCGCGTATGATTGGAGGATAAGAATGAATGGACGGTAGGAAATGATTAGACGAGTAAGTTAATAGGAAGACATGATTTATATGTGGACAACATATAAATCAGTAGGCAGAATAAGAACCTATAAATCAATCACTTTCCAATTAACCATCTTCAGCTCAAGTCGTCTTCACCCTCAAGTGCAGACTTCCTTCGCCTTCCTTCGCTCTTTCGCCCAAGCCTCATACCTTCCATCAGGTACCATTCTGGAACGAGTGGTTCTGCTCCAAGAGCCAAGAATACGAGATCGAAATCAAGGATGCGCTGTTCGTGCTAAGTATGAGCAAGAACCTGCTTTCGGTACCGAATATCAATAAGACTGGCATGTTTCAAGTTGTGCTCGATGATGCCACGATGCACGTCGTGCGCAAGAATTCGACACAAGTCGTAGCAGCAGCGGATCTTGTGGACGGACTTAACTGGTTACGAACCCCGCAACGATCGGCCAACATGGCAACAAGCAACCGAGTTGTTGACCTACATGCGCACATGGGCCACGCACCAATCGATGTTCTTCGCAAGATGGTGACTAGTAACATGATAAAAGCAAAAGACACCAGCCATCTCGAATGGTCCAAGTGTGTGTCGCGGATGCCAACAAGGAAAAATGGTCCAAAAGCCGTTCCCAAGCAACCGTGATAAGCGTGCCTACAACACTTTCGAGCTGCTTCACCTCGATATCTGCTGCCCCATGGAGCAGACTTCCATTGGCGGCAGCAGGTACTTGCTTTTGATTGTCGACAAAGCTAGCGGGTGCATGAAGGGCTTCTGTTTGCGTGCCAAGTCGGAGAGCGAAGGCCACATCAAAAGCTACATCGTCAAGATCCAGACTCAATTCGGCAAGAAAGTCAAGTTCTTTCCCATTATGGAGCTCGAGAATTTGCTACCAACTCGCTCATGAATTTCTACGAGGACGAAGGCATCGAACAGCAGACTACCGTCTCGTATGCGCATCAGACCAACGGCACTGCAGAACGTGCTATTCGGACTATCGTCACGATCGGGCGCAGCTTGCTGCATCATGCGAAGCTAGACAAGACTTTCTGGGCTGAAGCGGCTATGACAGCTATCTACATCAAGAATCGTCTGCCGTCGCCCAAAATCATCCACAAGACTCCATTCGAGATTATTTGCAGCTTCAAGCCGAGTGTCAAGAACATGCGTGTATTTGGATGCCAAGCATACATCCTGACACCAAGAGAGAAAAGGCTCAAGTGGGACTCGAAAGCTCGTGTCGGAATATTCATGGGCTACGAAGAAGCGTCGAAGGCTTACCGAGTGTACGACATTGAGGCAGGGCAAGTGATCAGTCGTGACATCACCTTCGACGAACAAGCCTTTGGATTTACGATGGACCGATTAAGTGAGGATGTCGATGATGCTGTGTTAAATCTCGATCTTCTCGAGATCAACAATGACGACGTGCGCCAGATCACCTATAAACAAACCGGGAAGCGCAAGAATCAGTCAAGGAAGAACATGTCGCGCTCCGCCCGCCGTCGAACAGGGTTGGAAGAAGCAAGTGCACCAGAAAATTCTACTGATCGTCACCAGAAACAGCGATCAATGGCTCGAGAAACGTTGAGCGACGATGAAGAAGAAAAGCAAGCAGACATTGGCGATCAAGACAACTGCTCAACGCCACCAACTTTTTGGCGTGCAAGTGCCAACGCAGTGGAAGCAACGGACCTGGCCGAACCAGCGACTTTCCAAGACGCGATTAACGGTTCAGACCAAGTTCACTGGCGTAATTCTATTGAGACTGAGCTCAAGTCAATGCGTCTTCGCGGAGTATTTCGAGCGGCAAAACTGCCAAGTGTTCAAGGCGCTATCGGTACCAAATGGGTATTTAATATCAAGCGCAAAGCAGATGGATCCGTCGAGAAGTACAAGGCGCGCCTCGTTGCCAAAGGGTTCAAGCAGAAGTATGGCATCGACTACACGGAGACGTTCTCGCCGGTGGTCAAGTACGTGACTCTGCGCATGGTCATTGCTATCACCAAGTACTTCGGCTGGCCTTTTGACCAACTTGACGTGGTGGCAGCATTTCTTTATTGTAACGGGGCCAGAACGTACCGTCACTAACTTACACGCGCGCTTGAGGAAGACTCAAGCCCAAGTATTAGGTATTTGTAATAGGGCACCCTCCGACTATACTGATTACAGTATAGTCTACTTTCACTGATTACAGTGAAAGCAGGTGCCTCAATTACCTCTCTTACACAAGAGGCAGAGGAAGCTTTACTTCTAAACAAACGCTTAGAAGTAGAGGAAAAGAAAACTGTATTTAATATAGTTAACTATCTTAATAAACTAATCTGTTATAACCTATGTTAACTATATTAAACTACAACTATGTATGTTGACAACTTGCCCTCCACTCATTGCGCGCGTCCATCGGTCATTGGTCAGCGCGTTGGTTGATATGATGGCCCATATCAACCAATGAGAGGGCATCTCCAACTTCAAGGAGATCTACGAACAATATTATAAGAGAAGGTAATATTGTCAAAATATTATTAGTTATAATAATATTTTATTGACACTTCATATAAGTGTCAATATTATGTAACGGGCTCGCCCAGTTACAGTATTAAGTGAATGTAACTCTGATTTTTATTTTGGTTTTAATTCGTACTAATTACGAAGATTTTACTCGTAATAAATACGACCGTGTTCCCGCCTTTCGGGAACCACACAATTTTAGATTGATTTATCATTGGTCCATATTGGGGACTTTAGGCCCAATAATAAACCAATAATAAATTGCCACGCTGTGCCCGCTATTCGGGCCCAGCACCTGTCTACAGATGTAATTGTTTATTTGTTAACTGTGTGTGTAATGTAGCCCATTATATCACCCCCTTCTCATGACAGCACTCACCAACCGTGAGTGCTCAACTGTCGAAACCTCATCGCTCACAAACGAACAAGCAATCTCCGGAGACCCAACACCCAATCCAGCAGCACCCCCAAACACCATCAGCGGGAGTGCAACAACCAGCATCATGGAGCGGCAACTCATACCTTGGTCACTGTACGACTTGTCCGGAGCTCACGCTCCGGACTCACTGGACACGATGCGGGACTACTTTCGCCGATTTCGAAAACTGCGCGGGAAAGGTCTTGATGGAATCGAGTATGAAGCCCTGCAACGTTCTTGGTGTACCTTTATCCAAAGTTGTAATCGGATGCTCGAGGATGGTAGCAGCTTTCAATTATGGCTCGCCAATCGAGAGGAGCTTCGCGCCGATCACTCCATCGGCGCGCTACGCGAAAGAGTGTGTGAGGATGCTTGGCATGAGGACCGTCTCTGCTTCGTCAATGTCAATGAAGGATGCCAGTCTTGTGACTCGACTCCACGCCCAACTCATGACGAATGGCGACGACACATCGCTGAGTGTCCACTTAGTGATCGCGAACGAGGCTGGATTGCGAAGTATGAGCGAAGTCTGAGCGAACGGAGAAGCGAAGTTATTCGTGGTGCGCCTCGCTAGCAGCACCACTCGCGATAGCGGAGTCAATCTTTGTGGAATAATCAGCACAGGGCAGCGACACGTTCGCCTGTCCGTCTTGCTGCGCGATTCTCGCCTCTCAGTCGTGATAATATGTATTTACTACGACGTTCTCGCTCACGGCATCGTTCTCGTTCGCTTCATCGTTCTCGTTCTCGACGACGTGGATCTCCTTACCGCTTTCGTTTGTCACGAGAGCCTTCGCGTGCTCGCCCGCATTGGAATAGCCCGACTTCGTGGCTTCATACGACAGAACCACACCTGGAACGTCACGAAGGAGTAAGGAGCGTGGTTCCCATGTATCCTGCTCGGGAGGGAATCCAAGCCAACGTGCTCGGTATCTGCGCGCGGATGGAGCCGCGCGCTTCTCATGAGCCGATGGTAGTACTGGTTGTGGAGGGTCCTCGTGACCCACAATGCGGTCTACAATCCAGCGCACCTGTCCCTCCGCATCATCAAGCGGAGGAGGGCCCTCGCGATGTTAATGCTGGCGTCCTGGTTGCCCAGGACGATGTTGATCAGTCCGTGAACAGAGCTGCCAATGCTCAGCTGGAGGATGAGGCTTCCAGTGAACGTGCTGCCTAGGCGGAGAAGACTGCGAGTGAGAACCGGCGGTCGAACCGTGAGCAGCTCGAACGGATAAGGGTTCTGGAGCGCCAGTTGCTTGGTCATGTGCAGACGGGATCGAGGCCGCGCCCCATGTCATCGGTGCGTCGATCACGACGGGAAGGCCGATCGACTTACGGACATATGGAGCCGGCATCGAACCCAAGCCGTGAAGCGTAGCCGGACATTATTCCTTCAGCCGCCCGACATAGAATGTCATGTGGAGTCGCAGTGAAGAGGGGACGTCGAGTGTATAAGCGTCGCCCATTGCCTTCAGAACCTTGAATGGACCGATGAAGCGTGGCGCGAGTTTACTCACGCCCAGGTTAGTGACCGCTGAATCCCTTAAGCCTTCCGTAGATAATAATACACGGTCACCTTTCTCAAACTTGCTCATGTTCTTTCTGCCATGCTTGTCAGCGTTCTCTTTCTGTTGGTATACCGCAGATTGTAGTGTGTCGCGTACAAACCGGGTGACGGCTTGACGTTGGAGTATAAACTCCGACACAGCCATGTCATCAATTGGTCACTCCGACTCAATCGACGCGTAGTTGGCAGCTTCCCCGAAGATGGGTCAATCAATGTCTGCGCGGTCCATCGAGCTAATGGGGACGCCACGTCTGGTGGCGTCAAAGTAGCCGTCTTTGCCTTGGATCGGGTTACTACATTCGCGCTCAAAATACCGTGAGCTGCACTCGATCCTTGTTTATCACCTTTATCCCCCCCCAGAGTGGAGCCACTAGGTGTTGTGGGTCGCCCCACGGCCAGGAAAGAAGGAACACGAGGGTGACGAGCCAAATAAAGAAAGAATGGCTTTAACCCTGTTGACGCGTGTACGGCGTTGTTGAGTGCGAACTCAGCGAGTGGTAAAAATGCACTCCAACTTGTAAATGACGTAGCGTAACTTCGAAGAACGTCTTCAAGGACCCGGTTCACGCGCTCGGTCTGCCCATCCGTTTCCGGATGGGCCGCAGTCGACATCAGCAGTTTTGTCCCGAGGAGGTCGAAAAGTGACGTCCAAAATGCGGACGTAAATCGCGGATCACGGTTCGAAACAATGTTTTCTGGAAGGCCATGATGACGGAACACCGCGTCGATGAAGTGCGCCGCGGTCTCTGCCGCGGTGACCTTGGCGTGAACAGGCACGAGATGTGTCATCTTGCTGAATCTGTCAACAAAGACCAAGATGCCCGTTCGAACTTGGCTATCGGGCGCAAGCCCGAAGATGAAGTCCATCGAAACTGATCTCCAGGCCTCTGCTGCAATTGGCAACGATCGCAAGGGAGCCTGTGAAGATGGAGATGGCTTCACACGCTGGCATATTTCGCACGCTCGGATCCAGTTGCGTACACTTATACATGTGAGGCCAGAAGAAGTCTCGAGACACAGCCGCGAAAGTCTTTTCGCGGCCTAAATGACCGCCAGCAGGAGCATCGTGATACTCGTGGATGATTCTTGCACGCAAATCCATGTCGTTGGCGATCACCGTGCGAGGAGCATCGAATTGGCCGATGCTATACAGAAGCAAATCGCCATCTAAACTGTATCGATGAATATGGTCGCGCTTGGTACGGGATAATGCTCCCAGTGCAGCATCGCTGGGAGCACGCAGATACTCGATAACGTCTGCATAATCGGAATCGCCCTTGTACGCTGCGACGATCTCATCAAAAAAAACACGGCTCGGGTGTAACCCGAGTTAAGTTCAGCGATACACACATTGCACATCGGTCATCATCGTCCTCGTCATCAGTAGCCTGGCGACTCAGAGCAGTCCGAGGATCGTAGTCGGGACGTCGTGACAAGGCGTCAGCGAGAATATTGGTCTTGCCTGGCTTGTAATGCACGACGAAGTTGTACTCAGAGAAGAATGAGAGCCATCGTGCCATCCGTTGGGACAGGTGTGGGCTCTTCATCGCTGTGCGCAGCGATGCATGATCGGTGTACAAAGCAAACGTACTTTCACCAAGGAGATGCACGCGAAACTTGATGAGTGCATAGCGCATCGCTAATAACTCCTTGTCGTGAACCGGATAGTTCTTCTCAGCTGGCTTCATCTGTCGCGACTGATAACTCACGACTCGTTCGCGGCCCTCATCATCAAATTGCATGAGGGCACAACCGATTGCAAAATCACTGCCATCGCAACTACGTGGAAAGTCTTGGAATCGTCTGGTAGGACCAGCACTGGCGCTGACGCCAGGCTCTTCTTTACTGCTTCGAAGGCTGCTTGGTGCTCGGGACGCCACAACCACGTGACGTATTTCTTCAAGAGTGACGACAAAGGCTGGATAGAACCAGCATGATCCTTCGTATACTTGTGCAAATAATTAGCCAAGTCGAGCCACTGGCGCAGCTCCGTAGGGTTCTTGGGTGTAGGCCAAGAACATATGGACGACACCATCTCTGGATCAGCTTGAACTCCCGATTTACTCACATAGCAACCTAACACCGGAATCTCCGGTGCACAAAAGACCCACTTTTTGAAATTCGCATGCAACTTGTTGTCCCGCATAACTTAAAACACTTATTTCAGGTGTTGATGGTGAACTTGGACATCGTTGAGGTTGCCCTCGGCGCGACTGTGGACGAAAATGTCGTCAAAATAGCTTGGAGCAAAGTTCCGAAGGGGTCTCAACACTTGAGACACCATGCGATTGGAAGTGGCCGGAGCGTTCTTCAATCCTTGTGGCATAACCATCCACTCCCATAACATGCCACTCGGAGTGCTCACCGCGGTGAGTGGGATATCGCTCGGGCGCATCAAAATCTGGTAAAAGCCATCGGTCAAGTCGATGGCACTGAAGATGACACTACCTGGAATGGAATTCAGCACCATGTCCTTCCTGGGAATAGGCGTTTGCGCAGGAATAGTGGCATCATTCAACTTATTGAACGCATGCACTATCCGCCAGCCTCCCGTAGCCTTCTTCACGCAGAAGGTTGGACTCGAATGTGGTGAGA